TAAAGATTTTATTTTTTTTATTTATTCATGAGAGACAGAGAGAGAGACAGAGGCAGAGGGAGAAGCAGGCTCCCCGCGGAGCAGGGAGCCCGATGCAGGACTCGATCCCAGGACCCTGGGATCATGACCTGAGCCGAAGGCAGACGCTTAACCGACTGAGCCACCCAGGCGTCCCGTTCTTATTTTTAAAGTAAAACATATCGCAAGAAGAAAAACATTATGAATTGATACTGATACTTCCAATTCAAATTTAGCAGTACAGGGTGTTTACTTACCCTCATTTATCACTCACACACCAAAAATCGTGGTCCTCAATGACACCAGCCTATTTATCCATTGGCTTTAGCCTGCACAGGCCCAGGACCAGGGTGAGGCAAGTGAGGCCCGTACAGTGCGGAAGTTCAGGAGCCACCACTCTCTGGCTAGTGCAGGTGCATGAGAACCTCCTCACCTATGCTGGACCCCACATATCCACTGCAGGAAAACTGAGATAAAAAGTTCTGGGTTGGGAGGTTGCATTAAGTAAATGAAGAAATACAGAATGCTGTGGCATTACCTACCTCGAGGGACAGACGGGGAGTGAACTGTCCCCAAGCCCTTCTTCTTTAACTGAGGATTCCAGGGCAGCCCCCTCAACACTTCCTGCAGCTACTGCAGTGTTCCTCCACCTCTTCTCCTTCATTAGATGTTTCTCCTTTCTTTCCTGATCTAGGAGCTCCCTTGTATATCAACTGCAATCAAATTATCCTACCCTAGCCCACCACAGGGGCTGAAGGCAGACCAAAGCAATTTTTTCAGACAATTAAGAACATGGGGATGGTATCTGATTAAGCATTATGACCTTGCAAACTATTATTACACATACTGAGGTTTCTTTTCCCCACGGATATCGAAACTAACCAAAGAACAGGGCATCTACATTTAAAAAAAAACAAAAACGAAAAAAACTCCATGATGTAGATGCATGTAGAATGCATAAAATGAAACAGTCACACATTAGAACTACCACTTAGAATCATTTAGTGTGCAGGACATATTATGCAATAATTTCTTAGCTGTTTGGGATAAATAGTGTCGGACTATCTCACAAAGTTTGCATCCCCACCCATATATTTGGTACTGGAGGGTTCTCGTGCCAGGTCACATCATGTAGTCTTTTCTTGATGACACTGGGCTTCAAAGACCAGTGTAGGGGGCCCTGGCTGGCTCAGTCGTTAAGTGTCTGCCTTCGGCTCAGGTCATGATCCCAGGGTCCTGGGATAGAGCCCCACATCGGGCTCCCTGCTAGGCGGGAGGCCTGCTTCTCCCTCTCCCACTCCCCCTGCTTGTGTTTCCTCTCTTGCTGTCTCTCTCTGTCAAATAAATGAATAAAATCTTTAAAAAAAAAAACAAAGACCAGTGTAAACCAGCATCCCTTTGGGTAATGGATGCTTATGAAAGAGAAAAATGCTTCTTAGAGATCATGATTTAGCATTATTGGGATAGAGCCCAAGTGTCTGCATGAACCAGCTCGCTCAGTGATTCTGCTACAGAGAAACCCCACTCGTGGGTGTTCTCTTCCTGGTCCTGGCTCATGGCTTGGGTTTTGAGTGACTTTTTTCTTTGAATTGATATTCACCCTTTACTTGGCCCTATTGGTAAACCAGATACAGAAACTCCTTTCTTGTGCCTGTCAGTGACAGCAAATCACCTTTGCCCTAGGGTATGTCTCCTAATCTGGGTTTAGTCCTGATACCTGCTATTACCAGGGGGGTCTGGACTTCATGGGAGAAAGGTCTTTTCTGGCCACCTTCAGGACTGCACAGCCAAGCATAGCTGTCAATTTTAGATAGGTTTTAAGGCCACTCCTGGTACCAGTCTGACTCACCAGAAACACTTCAATTATATAAATTTCAAAACCAAGTATTAGGAATATAAATAACTTCATTTTCCTGAGAACTAATTATTACCCAGAGTTCCTCTGCATGAGTTTCCAGAAGCCCAGAGCTACTTCCACGGGGCTGGGATCTGGACACCGAGGTAAAGGGCATTGGGGGACACAAGTCACAAAGGTGCAATGGGCCTGGTTCTAGCTCTGCACCTTGCCTGGTGTGGGCTTTGGGCAACAGGTCCTTTCTTTCTCGGAACCACCAGGGTGCCTTCATTCTCTATAGCTGAGGACGCTGTCTTGCAGGACTCTGGGGAAAAGTCAGGGAAAGAGTAGATGAGAGAGTGAAGAGCTGTAGTCATCCACACCTTCCACAAGTATTTACTGGGCGCCTGCTATCTGTCTGATTGGCTCAGGAGATACAATGACAATCAAAGCAGACATGATGTCTGTTTTCAGGGAGCTTAGAGTCCGTTGGGGTAGGCAGACAGACACTGAACCAATCAAATAAATACCTGAAGCTGTGACAGGGGTCGGCGCTCAGAAGCAGAGGGTCAGTGGTCAAAGCCACGGACGCATAGGCCGGGAGCTCACCGTCGAGGAGCACGGGGTGGGCTATGAGCCAGAGCTGCTCCCGCCGAGCGAAGGCAGCAGCAACAAGACTGATGGGAGGCAGCACGGAGCCAGAAGGGTGAGGCTAGAGGGTCACAAGATGCCGCCCAGGGAGCCGGCTGGGAAGGACACCTCAGGGTCTGGACCTTCATACCTTGCGCCCTGCCATGGGTATGATAGCTCTCATGCTGCGACCCCCCCCCCCCCCCCCCCGTTGTGTACTCATCGGTGTATCTGTCTCGCTCTCAGGACAGGTGTGAGGGGGCAATGCGGCCCAGTGGTCAGAACACAGGCTCTGCAGCAAACAGACTGGGTGTTACTCTTGGAGCCACCACATACGCCCGTGTGACCTCGGGCAGCCTTGGTTTCCTCTGCTGCGGAACAAGGAAACAGTATTGCTTACCTCCCAAGATCAACATAATGAGTTAATACGTGTGGATGTTTGTCGAATAGGACCTGACACATAGGAAGTGGGGAACAAACACGAGCTATTCGTATTAATGGTGCGCTAAGCACTTTGTATTGTAATGGCTCGGCTTACTTCTTGCAAAAACCCTATGATAGTTACTGTAATTACTGATACTTTACAGATAAGGGTTCTACCATTCATTAAAAAAAAAATGTTAGGTTTAAGGGCACCTGAGTGGCTCAGTCGTTAAGCGTCTGCCTTCGGCTCAGGTCATGATCCCAGGATTCTGGGATCGAGTCCCGCATCGGGCTCCCTGCTCTGCGGGGAGCCTGCTTCTCCCTCTCCCACTCCCCCTGCTTGTGTTTCCTCTCTGGCTGTGTCTCTGTCTGTCAAATAAATAAATAAAATCTTTAAAAAAAATATGTTAGCCTTAAATTGCACTACTGGGTATTTACCCCAAAGATACAAATGTAGGGATCTGAAGGGGTACGTGCACCCCAATGTTTATAGCAGCAATATCCACAATAGCC